GCTGTCTTTTTGTGATCTTGGCAGTCACTGATGCTTAATGCCTATATTTATTCATTTATGGGGAGCTGAAAATAGTAATGTTCTAATTCTACCATGTCTTTGTCATTTACTAGCTGCAATACTTTTATAAAGAGGTGCTTCTAATGAGGATATACTAGTGGCTATTCACTTGTACAGCCCATATAGGAAAGGCATAATAGAGGCTTGATTCTTTCCCTTAGCCTGTTTTCAAGATAATGAACTGGTTTATTAAGCTCTTCCTAAGGTAAGTTACTCTTGTTAAATACATATCTTATTGAGTCATAAATTTATAAATATTTATTGAGTTTTAATTCATGGCACATTATCATTCTTGAAATTCAAACTGTCCTCTCTTTGGCCAATCAAGTCTCTTTGGGTTGGCTTCTGAGAATTTCTGATATCTTCCTACTATTCTTTGATAGCTTCCTTGCTGACCAGTATTACAAGATGAGTCCTTCAAGCTCTTCAGGCACGTTTCATATCTAGACCTGGATTCAGCCATTTCTCCAGGAAACTCTGATTTATTTTAGTGAGGAACGATATTTCGAGTTCGCAGTCTGGGCGCTAAGGATGCTCAACGCAGATGATTGTTTCTAGTTTTTTCAGTGAACAGAACCAGGAGACAAACACATGAACAGATAGATAAAGAGAATGGGGGTGTGGTGACAGAGGCCTTCTAAGTTCATATTAACACTTTTGATTTGAAAATTCAAATCCCAGTCTATACAGCTTTTTCTTTATATTTGATACTATTACATTTGTATCTCCTTTCTTTCACAGCAAGAATACAGATTTTTCAAAGATATAGAAAACGACAGAATTAGACTATTCCATAATTACTCATTTGTTTATATCACATATCTCAAGACAACAGTTTCAGAATAACATTACTAATACTAATTTCTGAAAGCATTAAATCATTTTATTTTGCATGCAGTCCTGTCCCTCTTAAACTTTTATTGTATCCATGTTGTCAGTGCATGGGAATTACGTCCAATACTCTCTCTTCCTCAGCCTTCACTCAGTCTTAGGTCTACAGCTAACTATGTATTTAGTGCTCACCACCAGTCCTTATGCTGACCTACCTCTTGGCTGTCTGAAGCACATTCTCTAATAGATTCCTTGGGAAAACTTAGGTTAATATACCTTGAGTCCTTATAAATTGATAACAGTTTGTCTGTTTTTTCTACTTGAAAGTCAGTTTTTCTGGCCATAAAATCCTTGGCTTATTCTTTCCCTGAAAATTCTAAATATGTTACTCCATTTTCTTCTAGCAGAAAGTACTGCTGTCAAAAAATCTGAAGAAAATCTAATTCTCCCCCTTGTAAGTCGTATGCTTTCTTTTTCTACATGCCTAAATACTTTTTCCTTTAACTGGAATATATCTTAGTGTTGGACTTTTCAGATTGATATTCTTGGCCACATGATATCCTTTTAAATATAGTTGAGAATCTCTTATTTTAAGAAAGTTGTCTTGAATTCATTTTTATCATTTGCTGAATTCCCTTGGTCTAGCTTTCTTCCACAGGGACTCCTACTGCCCATAATTCAATCTTCTTTATCTTAAATATGTGTTACTGTTTCTCAAATTCTTTTTATATCTTTTTCATTTCCTTTTATTTATTTATTTGTTTTGGAAACAGAGTCTCACTCTATCACCCAGGCTAGAGTGCAGTGGTGCGATCTTGGCTCACTGCAACCCCTGCCTCCCAGGTTCAAGCAATTCTCCTGCCTCAGCCTCTCGAGTAGCTGGGATTACAGGCGCCTGCCACCATGCCCAGCTAGTTTTTGTATCTTTAGTAGAGATGGAGTTTCACCATGTTGGCCAGGCTGGTCTTGAACTCCTGACCTCAGGTGATCCACCCACCTCAGCCTCCTAAAGTGCTGGGATTACAGGTATGAACCACTGTGCCTGGTCTAATTTCCTTCTAATTTAAAATTCTTTCCTCTTTTTAACTTCTATTTTTCTTCAGTTAGTATCCCTTGTGTTGCTTCTAGTTGCATTCTCATTTCTCGAATGAATTTTTCTTTTATTTCTCATTCTTTCTGTCACCTTATTTCTGAGACTTAAAAATTCTGATTCAAGTCTTGTACCATTTTCTTGTTCTCTTTGAGCTGGTTTTAAAGTAGTGATTTGCTGGTTGCTTTTACTGTCCACAGGGGTGTTACTCCCTTTATTCTCCTTTTTTCTAATAATAACTTCGTGTTGTTTGACATTGCTTGACACTTTCTGCAGTGGATTTGACCTTGCTTGATATTTTCTGTTGCTCATTCTTATGTGAGCCTTGCTTCCTAGGAATTCCAGTCTCCGTCCTCCTCCCCTACTTTTTCCTGGACCTTTTCTTTCCTTTGTATCCATGTCCCTCTACTGCTCAATTCTGATTCCACTCCCAGTCATTTCTCCTGAGTACGAAGCTATATCTCAAAAGGAAGGTTTGTTGGGCCAGTTTTGAGAGTTCATAAGGGTTGGACTGCTCCAAATCTCTCAGGTCCTTTGTACGCACTCAGTACTGCAGAGAGCATAACCTTTTCCCATTTCTATTGCTGCTCTCAGACTGGTTAGTTGAAATTTCTTGCAATACCTGTTAGCTATTTTGGGGTTTTTCTATTCTCAAGTGTACCAGATACCCGAATTCTTCCCTCTTCCTCCTGCACTCTTACAAATGTACTCAATTCTGTTTTGTTTGTATTTCTTTTTTAACTAAGAACATGTATTACCTTTATAAGACCTAAAAAATAGAGCCAGGAGCAGTGGCTCACACCTGTAATCCCAGCACTTTGTGGGGTAGAGGCAGGTGGATCACCAGGTTAGGAGTTTGAGACCAGCCTGGCCAACATGGTGAAACCTCATCTCTACTAAAAATACAAAAATTAGCCGGGTGTGGTGGCATGTGCCTGTAATCCCAGCTACTGGGAAGACTGAGGCAGGATAATTGCTTGAACCCAGGAAGCAGATGTTGCAGTGAGCTGAGATTGCACCACTGCACTCCAGCGTGGAAGACACAGCAAGACTCCATCTCAAAAAAAATTATTAAAAATAGTGTTGTTGAGTACAGTGGTCATCCCTGGGTGACAGAACTAATAGTAATTTTTACTTAAGTCTTTTTGCATTGTTGACTTACAATTAGCATCTATTACTTATACAGTAAGAAAATCAGACTACTTTCATTTTTAAAAACAATGTTTATAAGACACTGAAAATCCAACAGAGAAGGAAAAAAAATCTAACTTGGGCTTTATTGAGTAAAAGTTTATTAATCATAGTCATCTAGATGTGTGGGTTTACAATTCACATACATACTATCAAGCACATTACCACACATCTCATTTGGAATCTGATTTACTTTACATAACCACACATAGCAATATGTATCAGGTTGACCTTGTCAGTTTTAGAATTCCAAAATTTTCTAGATTATTTGATAACTATATTTTTAATGTGTTTTTCTTTTAAAAAATTTTTTGCTTTTTTTCTTTTGATAACCATATTGAATTATACCCCAAATCATGGTTTTTGTTTACATAAGAATGTCAAATTACTCAAGCAATAACTAAGAACAGACAGAAACAAACTAAAAAGTTTTCATGAGCCATTATTCAGACTTTCAAAAGGCTTGACACAGCATACTGTACAACCAGTTAAATTTCAAGATACTTGCCCCTGCTGTGCTGCAGACTCCTAACCTAAAAGGAAGCTAACCTCAACAAGACACTGAGGAAAAAGATAACAATTTAAAAAATACTGTTTAATCACCAGACTAGTAAAAAAGACCTTTTAAGCTTCCAAATTTGTTAAAATCTTCTCTTACATAATAATTTTTCCATTTTACAGAAATGGAAAAATTTATTATCTATTTATCTATCTATATTAAAAAAAAATAGGAAATAGGATCTCACTATGTTGCCCAGGCTGGTCTTGAATTAGAAGCCTCAAGCAATTCTCCAGCCTCAGTCTCCCAAAATGCAGTGATTATAGGTGTGAGCCACCGTGCCTGGCCTACTGTGCTTTAAAACGCCACTGCAAAAAGACTATCATCCTTTTGACAACTGACTACCTTTTCTGAATTAATAACTTTCTAAATAAATATATCTACCAGAAACTGTATTATGGCTGCCATCACCTCTTACTGTACTAAGTCTTCATTCTTGGAATTCTTTCCCCTCTTCCAAGCCTCCAATCAGGCTTTTGACTATATCACTCTACTGAAACTGCTTGTCAAGGTCACTGACAAGCTCATCATATGAAATCTAATCACGACTGTTTTGCCATATTCGTACTCAATCTCTCAAAAGCAGCTCAAACAATGGAGCACTCTCTCCTTCTTGGAAGGGGATCACTTTTTCTTGAAGTAGGACTACAACTTTCTGCCATTTCACTTTTGTTAGTTTGGTTTCTGGCTTCTTCCCTTTTGCCTGGCCTTTAAATGTTACATCACACCAAGGTCTGGGTCTACACCATCTGTTCCTTATAGCTAAGCGTCCCCCTAAGATATCCTCTCCATATCCAAACTGCCCTGGAGCTGATTGATCCTTCCTCTGAGCTCCAGTCATCCCTGTCTCCTTAACATCCCAATTTGGAAATCTACTAGAATGCTCAAAATAACCAAAATGCTTAATTTCTCCTCTAAAACCATTCCTCTTCCTGTTATTCCCATCTCAGTATGCAGTTATACCATCCATCTAGTTATTCATGCAAAGAGCCTTAATTCTCTTTTTTCATTTCTTATTTCCAATCTATTGACAAGTCCTTTTTACTTTTTCTCCAAAATACAGGCTATAATGAATCTAATCTGTCCTCCACATTGATTTTTCACCACCAGATATAAATCACCATTACTTCTTGCCCATGGCAAAAGCCTCCTAACTGATCTCCAGGATTCCATTCTTGTCCCCCTACATTCCAGTCTTCAGATAACACAGACTAAGTCCTATCAACCATGTCACTCTTCTGCTTAAACAAACTGTTGCTTGCTTGCTTTCTTTTCCTTATTGTCTACCCATGCTTCAGCTACAATGCCCCTCACACACCTTCCAAACCCCAAGCTAGTTTTTGCCTTAGGACCTTTGCAATGGCAGTTCCTTTAGCCTGGAGCCTCTCCCCTAGGTCTTCACGTGGCTCTCATCATCTACATCAGATCAGTCATCTGCTCAAATAATTCTTCCCTGGCCATCCTGTTCCACTGCTCGCTCGCGCGCGCGCGCGCTCTCTCTCTCTCTCTCTCTCTCTCCCCCCCCCCCCTCCGCCCCCCACCCCTCTCCTATTATCCTGTTTTAATGAACTGATTGCACTTATTCTTACCTAAAAGTATTTATTTCCTTGCTCCCTACAATTTGAAAATAAGATCCACAAAAAAGAATCACTTGAACCCGGAAAGTGAAGGTTGCAGTGAGCCAAGACTGCACCACTGCACTCCAGCCTGTGCAACAGGAGTAAGACTGCATCTCAAAAATAAATAAATAAATAAATAAAAAGAATGTCTGGCACGGTGGCTCACGCCTACAATTCCAGTACTTTAGGAGGCTGAGGAGAGCGGATCACAAGGTCAGGAAATCGGGCCCATCCTAGCTAACATGATGAAACCCTGTCTCTACTAAAAATATAGAAAAAGCCAGGCATGGTGGCACACACCTGTAGTCCCAGCTATTCGGGAGGCTGAGGCAGGAGAATCACTTGAACCTGGGAGGCAGAGGTTGCTGTGAGCCAGTATCAGCCACTGCACTCCAGCCTGGGCGACAGAGCGAGACTGTCAAAAAAAAAAAAAAAAAAAAAAGAAAAGAAAAGAAAGTAACATCCATCACAACAGTAGGAACCGTGAGGTCTTGCAGGCCAGCATGTTCCAGCAACTAGGACACACAGTAGGGGCTTACAAAACACCAGTTTAATCCAATAAAACCATGTACTCTGGCAAAACAAAAACCAAGCAAAAGAAAAATAGACTCCTCCTGTATAAGTTGGGTCTAGAACCGAAGAAGAATTATGCTGAATGCAAACACAATGGTGAAAGAAGATAACAGAATTTCCTAGAATAGAAAATTCTACTTTCTGGGTGCCCTTAGGCAAGTCACAGTATCACTGCACCCCATTTCTCTCTCTTCTCTATAGGGGAGTTGAACAAAATTATTGTTCAGACCCCAGCCTGAGCCTTAATTCTACAGTGTTAACAACTACATTAAAAAATAGGTGAGACTAGGTGCTGTGGCTTATGCTGTATTCTCAGCACTTTGGGAGGCCAAGATGGGAGGATTACTTGAGATTAGAAGCTTGAGGCCAGTATGGGCAACACAGCAAGACTGTATCTACAAAAAAAATTTTTTTAAATTAGTTCACTATGGTGGTGCATGACTATAGTTCCAGCTACACAGGAGGCTGAAGCAGGAGGAACGCCTGAGCCTAGGAGTTAGAGGCTGCAGTGAGCTATGATCATGCTACTGCACTCCAGTCTGGGCAACATAGTGAGACCTGTCGCAAAACAAAACCAAACCCACGCACTCAAGGAACCCTGCAAGAGTGACACGCCATGTTACCCAGTTGGTTTGGCGATAATGAAGGCAGGGAGATGGTAATTTTTAAAAACCTAAAGCCTTTAGATAAACTGTAGCTTTAGACAGGTTCTACCTCCTTTGTTACAAATAAAGCCTTAAGCAAAATGTTTAATTTCTTAGAATCCCAGTTCCCTCATTTATATAACAGGGCTAATAAATTCTGCATACATTTTAGGGATATCATTGTGATCAAATAAAATATTATATGTGAAGGCACATACTATACATAAGGGCGAGGAAATGCAGAGTCAAGTTTTTGTTTTGTTTTTTGAGGGTCTGGCTCTGTCACCCAGGCTGGAGTGCAGTGGCACAATCTCAGCTCACTGTAATCTCCACCTCTTGGGCTCAAGCCATCCTCCTGTCCCAGTCTTCCAAGCAGCTAGTACTACAGGCAAACACCACCAAACCCGGCTAATTTTTGTATTTTTTGTAGAGATGGGGTTTTGCCGTGTTGCCCAGGTTGGTCTCAAACTCCGTAACTCAAGCAATCTGCCCACCTCGGCATCTGAAAGGGCTGAGATTACAGGTGTGAGCCACCGCACCTGACCAATAATTTTAAATATTAATGAGAAAAGAGACTGAGTGTGGTGGCTCATGCCTGTAATACCAGCACTTTGGGAGGCTGAGGCAGGTGGATCACCTGAGGTCACGAGTTCAAGAACAGCCTGACCAACATAGTGAAACCCTATCTCTACTAAAAATACAAAAATTAGCTGGGTGTGGTGGCATACGCCTGAAGTCCCAGCTACTCGGGAGGCTGAGACAGGAGAATTGATTGAACCCAGGAGGTGGAGGTTGCACTGAGCCGAGATCATGTCACTGTACTCCAGCCTGGCAACTGAGCAAGACTCTGTCACAAGAAAAAAATAATAACAATAGTAATAAATTATTTTATTCTCAAATGGCTGAATGAACTATAAAAAATATATGTATATTGCCCTAGATTGAGCTGAGAGGTGGAACTAGCAAACTAGATCTTTGGGCAAACTTGATCAGGATCACGTACTAGTAACTTCTCCTATGTCCTGATATCCTTCATGGTTTAGCCTCTTCAAAATCATTTATGGAGAACATCGATGTGATGAGAATGAGGTGAGGAAAGACAGGGAGAAGTCTGGGGGAAGAGCAATGGGCTGGTTGGCAGAGTATTAGAGCAGAAATCCTGGCAGATTTCCCTTCCTAACAGTAGCAGGTTACTTAATGACTGTCAAACCTTCTCAGCAGGAAGGTCACAACCTCCTGAAACTAAATCAGCAATAGCTCCATAGTTGGAATTCTGATGGCAGAGTGGAATAAGAGGAAATAAATTAAATGTTAATAGAAAAAATTACTGACCCCCAGGTTTGAGAGAAAAAGAAGAATGAGATGCCTCCAGTCATCTGACCTTTTCTCCACGATGAGATTTCTTCTTGCAGCATTGGAAGAAAGCCAATAGAAAACCAAACATGGTTTTTGGTGTTTTTTTTGTTTTTTTTTTTCTTTTTTTTTTAAGACAGGGTATCACTTTGTCACCCAGGTTGGGATGCAGTAGTGTGATCTTGGCTCACTGCATGCTTGACCTCTTGTGCTCACATGATCCTCCAGCCTCAGCTTCCCAAGTGGCTGGGATTATAGGCACACACCGCATTGCCTGGTTAATTTTTAAATTTTCAATAGAGACAAGAACTTGTTGCCAGGCTGATCTCTAACACCTGGGCTCAAGCAATCCTCCTGCCTTGGCCTCCCAAAGTGTTAGGATTACAGGCATGAGCCACTGTGTTCAGCCCCAAACACCCTTTAGCTGTTTTGACACCTGGGTCCTGACCAAAGATTGGCTACAGAGGCCTTCAGGGATTCAGAGCAAGTTCCACTTAAATTAGCTCGTTAACTAAGGCAAAACACTGTGAGCAGACACTGGACAAGACAAACAATGGCCCCAGCCATGTGGTGGCTGCTGCAGTGTTCACATCTGCTCTTCCTTACCTTTGCTAACATATGGATTTTTCTTTCTTTTCTCAAACCACAATTTGCCTCAAGATCTTCCCAAAACCTTTTCCTTTACAAAAACCAGCCTTGTGGCTAAATCTTACTCAAAGAAAGGCAATACATTGTTTTTAACAGGAAACCTAATAAGTAAAACCAGAGTATTTCTGTATCTTAGCTTATCATAGTACCTGAGACACCCTGAATTACTGTTGACTGCCCCCTCCCAAATCTATTTCACTTTATCATTTATCACCAGCTGCCTGAGGATGAAGAGAGGAAAAGAAACTCTAGCCACAATTTTCATGTTTTGTTTTAAACTGTTAAAGAACCTCCCCATGAATCAGATGTTAGATTTGATTACTGTGATGTCCAAATCAACCTAAAAAATTAAAGTCCAGAATGAGAACAGAAATCAGAACTGTTGATCTCAGTCAACTAATTAACTAATTAACTTATTAAAAAAATACCTGTTTGAAAGATAATTTTTTTATGGAATTACGTTTGTTTGCTTGAGACTGAGTCTTGCTCTGTTGTCCAGGCTGGAGTACAGTGACGCGATCTTGGCTCAGTGCAGCCTCCATCTCCCGGGTTCGAGCCATTCTCCTGCCTCAGCCTCCTGAGTATCTGGGACGCACACCACCATACCCAGCTAATTTTTTATATTTAGTAGAGATGGGGTTTCGTCACGTTGGCGAAAGTGCTGGGATTACAGGCATGAGCCACCATGTCCAGCTGGAATTATGTTTTTAATCAGGATAAAAATGTTTATTTTTTCTCTATTCCATTTTGTTCTAAGAAAGAATTTAATGTGGCCAACTGACTCAATAGTGTGATTCAAAATATATATTTCTAGATACCATAATCCAAAGAAATTGTTTATGCACAAGGAGAAACAGACATTGTGGAAACCGAAAACCAAAAGGAAGTATGCAACAACCTGAAAGATCAACAGAAGAGCAAAAAAAAAAAAACACCCAGAAGCTACAGCAGCGGACTGCAAGTTTGTTCCTTTTCCCCTGACTGACAGCCTGCACCTCTGCTTTTATTTTGATTACTTTACATCCTAGGGTTCAAATGTGAACATGCTCCTTCTCCTCAGCACTATCTTCCTGCACAGGGCCATCATTTTTTCAGACAGAATTACCTCCTAGAATTTCAGAATGTTATAATCTACGAGGGGAAAAAAAGGAAAACATTTATTTTTAAAATATACAACAAAATGCACAAAACCAATTCATTTTCAGACTTACCAAATGCTGGTGCACTAGAAATAGCAACTGGTTGCTGTTTCATGACAGGGGGAAGTGCAGAGGGTAGCTGATATCCTTGTAGCTTGAGTTTGATAAGTTTCATAGCTATGGAAAACTCCACTTGATCCATTCTTCCATCATTATTCATGTCAGCTAGTGCCCTGCAAACCGACAGCATGGCCTGAGAACAACTGTGACCATAAAAGAACCTTTCCAAAACCACCACTCCCACCAACACGAAAACAAAATAATTAGCACCCTTACCCCTAGGGAGAACAACAGAAAACATTAACTGTTTACCAAGCTGCAGGGAATAGCCTGTAAATAATGGCAAAGTTTTATATAAACATAAAATATCTTCCACTCTGCCACTTTACCAGGTAGCTTTCAGCCCCAGTGTGAGTATTTGTTCTTTAGACGTCAAAGGGGTTTCTTTCTGAAGTGATGAAAACATTCTGCAATTAGATGATAGTGACTGTTGCACAACTCTGAATAAACTAAAACCAATGAATTTGACACTTTAAATGAGTAAATTCTATTATATGAATTCTTTTACAATAAAGCTATTAGAAAAGAAAAAGATTTAGAAGCAGAGAATGTTACTGCTAGAGATACTTAGATTGCAATAACTTCTCTGTGGAGTTCTGCAAACCTCAACGTG